CGCGAGGCAGATGTCTGATATCGAGGCGCCCACGGCCAAACGCGCTAAGATCACTGTAGAGGACGACGATCCATGGCTCGAGATCGCTTGCGGTGTCGCCGGTGATGCCGAAGGACAGAGGGGGCAGCTGCTGCCACGGCATCAGCACCTAGCCTCGATGGCGAGGGTTCGCAAGACGAAGAGTTGGACGACGAGCTCGCCACCCTCGTGGCAGACGAGCCCCCGCGTGCTGCCAAGCAGTCACCTCTGGCGCCGGCGCTGCTGAAGACGGCCCTGGAAAACCCGGGTGGAGTTCGTTCATTGCTACGGGAGCAAGCGGAGACGGCCGCGCAAGGGTGCGGGTGCCAGACACCCCTTCCGCAATGGAAGAAAGGCGACCCGGGCGGGGTTACAACCTGTGGGCGCCAACAGGCCCATATCATCGCTGGGGTGTCCATCCAGGTACGTGTAGTGGCTTTCTTTTTTCACGAAAGGCCGTGTATCAGACGGTGGGCAGCCTCCCGTCAAGCCGATACGTGGATTGTACAGCAACCAACATGTAACACCAGAATGCTTGTAGTTGTATACCTACAAACCGCTCTCTCTCGTACGTGCTGGCTCTATCCCAGCCCACAGAATCAGTCTATGTTGAAGCTCTAACACGAACGAAACGCAGGAATATCCTGTTGCACGCAGCAGCCACATGGATGCAAAGTTAGGAGTGGCACGGTGCTTGGCCCTAACGTACATGCCCTCTCCAAGACCAAAGAAAGTCTGCAAAATCAAAGAGAGCATACAAAAAAAATACGCGCCGTGTCACGCAAGATATCAGCCCCCTCCCCGCACAAACGTTTGGCACACACACCCCGCACCAAATGTCAGAGGTTCACTCCCGCACTGGGCCCGAAGAGGTGTGTAGTCCCAACAAAACGTTTCGAGAAGTGGTCCACAAGAGCGTTACAACTCCGACGTTTTCTGCCTCGCCAATGTGTCTTTATTGAGGGCATCGAAGAACTGGAAATTACTATCGTGGGGGGGGTGATATCTTATACCACACGATGACATCGTTGCTTCACCTCAGGGTGCAAGATGAAACGACGGTGCGCACGGTGGGTGGAGGTAATTAGACGGATTAGGCGGTGTCAATTATCCTGCCACCTTGCTCAGGGGGAGCGGTCACTTGTATTTGTTGAAACTTACCATATTTCCTGCCCCTCCCCCACCCCTCTCTCCGCGCCCCCTCGCAGCATGTGCTCGACCGTCAGAAGGCGAGGGACAGCGAAGGCGACAATGTGCCGTACGTGCTTGCGCGCACGGTTAGGAGCAATCTACAATACTTGGCGGCGCAAGAGATTGGGGCTACTGGGCAAGGAAACCAATGCCGGCGCGGAATGTTTTGCAGCCGCTATGGGCATGTTTTGCGGCAAGGGGAAGGAGGGCATTCCTCGTGATGTCGTTCTAGCGTTGCTGAGGCACTAGTAGGCTCGCATCCACGGGTCTGTTCGAACGAGAGGCCTGGTTGAAGTCGACAGAGATGTTTTTTTTTTGTGGTTGTCTAGTTGCACTGGCGGACAGTGCGAAACTTTCGCTTAAAAAAATAATGCATAAGAGAAAGTACCAGGGTTGTTGTTGGGGGGCTACTCAGGCGTGCATGTGTGGGCAGAGGGGGACTAGAGGTTCTGCGCTCGACGTTTTTTTCTAAGGGCAAAGGGGGAGTAGAGGGTCTGCGCTAGGCGTTTTTTTTTTTTTAAGCTCAGCTTGTTCTGTTTATATTCTATACAGGGCCACTTTGGCAACGAGCAGGAGGGACACAAAAAACAAAAGGCGAGAAACGCTGCGGCAGTGCACCTGCGATGTGCGACGTCTAGTTGCGGCGTGATGCCGAAAAAGAAAATCCGCTGTCCGTCACCAGCGCATATGTGGAAGACAAGCTACGCGTAGGCCCCGCGACAGTCGACGCTTTTCCGCTGACATGCATCCTAAAAATACACGGCTGCCCATATCAAGCACACAAAGACCCGGCTGTCCCTTCCTCGGATGCTGGCTTTGGCGCACGCCAAGCTCCACAGCTGCGAGTGTGTATGTGTGTGTGTTTTTTTCCAAGCCATCTTTTGTTGTCTTCTCCGCTACCCCGCCAAAAAAAAAAATACGACCTGCCACCATCGGCAGCGGCAGAGGGATGCGGTGGGTGCTCGCCATTTCTTCCGTAAGCCATAGAAAAAATGTGTCGTAGACCCGTGCGCAAAGACAAGAAATAATGCACACCTAGACTCGGTGTGGAAGACACGCAAAACAGAAGGACCGTGCGGTCTGTGTTTCTGTTTCCCCCCCCGTGCGGACGTTTCCTTGCCCCCCCCCCCCCCCCGTCTTTGCG